CGTTGCATGGGTGTGTGTCAAGGGATTTGGACCCCCCCCAAAAAAAAACAAGGGGCGTTGTTTCCGATAAAAACCAACCCGAAAACGAGTAGCCTCCAAAAAACCCGCCGACTCAGGGAATCCGAACATGGAACCTAAGCAGCATCTAAGGGTCCCCGAAAATCTCCAAAAGTAGCTCTAAACTCCACACACCACATGGCGAATCTCCCGAAACCTGACGAGAAAAACGCTCTGCATCCGAGCCACCACACCGCCGTCCGGACGGCTGGCTCCTCTCTCCGGGCCCCAGGGGCTGAGGGAGCCCGCCCGCGACGGCCACGAGCTTCGAAGGCCCATGGGCGGCTTCCGTTGGGCGGCCAAAACCCCCCAAAGAGCGGCAGCCCGGGCGTTTTTTGGGTTAAAGGACCCCAAGGAACGGCACGCGTTTTTCTGTGGATGGTAAATCACCCCGCGGCTCGTTCTTACCGTCTTGACGCATGGCCTTCTTTCTGTTTTTTTTCTTGAGCTCTTACAGACTTCCGGTACAAAACCTGTGGGACTGGTCTGATGCAGCCTCCCTCGGTTGTTGCACAAAACTGGAGGGGGGCTTTCAGCTTTGAATGTCAAAACCATGCGGACACTTCTCAGGTTGACAACTCAGGCTGTCCCTGAACACAAAATTCCTTTTCACAGCCTGTGACCTTCTGCGTGCTTGCGCCGGATTGTCTTAGCTGGTTGATTGACAAAGAGAAGCCACCCAGTTCAGAACGAATCCAATCGCTTGGGGAGTTGCATCCCCCGATTAATCCGGCATGTCGATTCCGGGGTCTATAGACAACACTCGGGGAGATGTGTGCAACATGAGACTGCCGCGAAAGAGGTTTGTCTTGAAACCTCGGAAATAAGGCCCACCGCTTCTTTGAGCATAGGGCGCCCATTCGTGTCTTCCTGAACTAGAGATCAAACATGGAAAAACGGGCAGGGGGTTTTCATGAAACAGCCAAAGCGATGTGTGCTAAGTCACCTCCCGAATGATTTTGGTTTGGAATTGTGGAGCACCCCCGCTAAAAAAAAAAAAAACAAGCTCAGGTGATATCCCCAACAGCATGCAGTGCTCTTTTTAGTGCTCGCACCTCACAGCCCTCGCAAAACCCTCGTGGAACCTTGGTGGAACCTTGGTGGAACCCTGGTGGAACCCTGGTGGAACTTTGGTGGAACTCTGGTGGAACCCTGGTAAAACCCTGGTGGAACCCTGGTGGAACCCTCGTGGAACCTTACCTCAGGGCCACCCCGGACCACCCCGGAGCCTATCTGGGCTGAGACCCCAAAGCTTTCAGCTGCTGGGGGAAAAAAAAAAACACGCTGCTCGCAAAGATGGGAACTGAAGCGTATTCCGAAGCCGAAGACCCTTCAAAGTTCGATGTGTCTCCCCCACTCACACCAGATATTGGCAATCTCTCTGTGGTATGTGCTCCATGTAATCACTAGTAAAACATTCTGCTCACGTCCTCACGGAAGTGCTTTTTTGTGCTCCTTCACACATCGCCTCCCAGGGGAATCCATCAACACACAAAGGGCGATGTTTTTTTCAGCGACCACAACAAGACTCAAAGATGCAGAGGACTCGGCCGAAGCTCAAGGGTTTGGTCTGCTGAACTGCTCTTGTCAGAATATCGCCCCAACACCCGCAACCCTGAGGGACCCGGTCAAAGAGCCAGCCCCCGGTTCGAACCCTCTCCTTCTTGGCGGCAGCAGCTTGCGCCTGGGCGAGAGCTGCTGCACTTGTGGCTCAGACTCCATTGACGAACGAAAACGAGCGCGGCCTTTTTTCAGGGCCTCAAATAATGAAACGCGCCAATGATGGGCATAGCGGCATGCGAACTGACAGAAGGCCACATTGAAAGAAAAGTGGCCCTGGATCCATGTCGATGGGAGGGTATCTACCATGATTGACTCTTGTCCAGATTCAGTTAGCCTTAACATACAAAAACACATGGCCATGGGTCAAAATCCCGTACCCGCAGTGAACATCCCCATCCCCACCAAAATAGACTAAAATGGGTGGTTCACAAACCATGCTCAAATGCCCCAGATCAGTGTGGGATCCAGCTTTCTCTCGCGTTCCCGCACACCCCGAGGAGCTACTGATCAACATATCAGGAGTCAGTGGAATGTTCTGTTAGTCAACAATGGCTTTTTTGTGTTTTCCCATTTGGCCCAGTAGAATAGGTCCTAGACTTGGGGCCGAAAAAATGAGGGATATTGGGATATCCTGTAAGTTCCCCGTTCCCCTTTTACTTTGCTCATTCGGAGTTGGCCTGAACTCTTCACATGAATTCCAGCTTCTTGTCGAAACTCCAGATCGGAGGATGGCCAAACCGTTGATCCCCTTCCTGCACAGGCAATGCTGCAGGAAGGGCTTCTTGACTTGCTGATGACCTATTCCCGGGCATAAACATGGATGTTGTCTGGGCTGCCCTCAGATAAAAGTTTAAGCTTTTAGTGGGTTAAATGGAAACTACCACTAAACCCTAAAAGCCTAAAAAGCCAAGGGGACGGCTGGGGGCCACCAAGTCTTGTATCCGTGCTGTGGGTACCAGAGGGAGCAAGTTCGTCTTGCAGGGACCTTCTCAGGTGCTGTGTACTGGGAGGCCATCGGCTATCAACCCATTGTTCACTGGTAAGACTCTAGGGGTTGATTCCCCATTCCATCGTCCTTTCCAAAAACCGGCCGTTCTCCATGGGTTTCCGGAGGTTTGTTAGAAAGAAGGATCCCTGGAAAGAATGGGGAAGGTACCCCTAGTAAGACTTTCTCTCTACCATGAACAGCTCACTTCCGATCGATTGGATTGGCAAGAAAAATGCCAAACTTGCTATTTACCGCTAAAACGGTCCAAACCCACCAAGCGACTAAAGTCCGGGAACAGGGTCTCCCCCATGTCCCTTTGTGGAACCTCCAAAAGTGGGGAGTTTGAAGGGAGATCGCCAGCGAATTGCAACGTTTGAAGGGAAGTCCACCCCTGAAGAACTCAGGAACACCAGGCGCCGTGCTGTCCAGCGACGTGAGTTGGAGCTTTAATTGATCCGAGAGGCTCCCATGCCGCTCGAGGTGCTTATCTGCTTGGACCTTGCCGTGTCAAGCTGCGCAGAAGCTCTGCAAGCTGGCGGGCAAAAACACACACAACTGCAGAGGGCAAGGTTGGGCCAACGGGTTCAAACATGCTGAAACTTCATTTGAACGATTATTGCTTGAAGGACCTTACTTCAGCAGATTTTGCCAAACCAAACCCTTTCAGAAGGCCCGCCCCTTTATGGCCAGCAAGCAGAGTGCAAGGTTACCAACAGTTGCAAGTGATGAACTCCGGTTCCTGCATTGCCACGGTTCCATCGCTTGCATCTGAGGCGACCAACTCATTGCGGGCGGAAGAGTTTGCCAAGCTTGGGTTGTTCATTTCCTAGGTCCTCCAGTAGAGAGGTTAGAATAAGGGTACCCTTTTTCTGTAGTCTATTTTAGTGGGGGAACCCTCCCCCAAGAAAGGGTAAAAGGGACCTACTGGATGACCTAGTTTCTTTGTGGTAGGCCTGGAACAAAAGAAGTGAAAAGGGATGAGAAAACCGAGGAGCCGCAAAATCCGAAGGGTGAGGCACATGTCCAGCGCGGCTTGGCCCAGCGGCCACAAAAACCGACTCCTTCCGCCCATCCAAAGCGGCTCCCGGAGCCGCGGAAAGCGGCTCGGGGTCCTTTTGTTGTGCTGGAGCTAGGAGCCTAGCACGACCCTTTTTCCAAGGCCAAATTTTATGAAGGAAAAAGAAAGAAAGAAAGAAAGAAACACAACCCAGAAACCGGCCGGAAGCTGCTTGTCTGGTGATCATTGGCCCAGATGCAACTCATCAGATGACTTTTGCGCTTCACTTTGGCGACATCTCGCGACGAACGTCCCCACAATCTGCGCTTGGTCTGCATGCTTGACCTGGGAGCCATAAATATGAACATGTATCTTCTTAAGGGAACCCCCCATTTCAAAACAAAGGTGGTGTCCATCTGGTTTCCTGTGGGAACAACCCGAAAAACCATTTGGTTGCCCTGATCCCCTCGAGGCTCCGGCCAGCGTAAGGACTTGACGGTGAGTCGGTGCATGCGACCGAGTCCAACGGATCGAAGGATGGTGGGGGCTGGAACCATCCCTAAGCCAAGGGGTAACTTCCGGGAAGCCTTGGAATTGCGGCCCAGTCTGTTGAGTGGAAAAGAATGCTGGGTGAAACCCCTTGCAATCGTGCAATCGTGCGGCGGTGAGTCAAACAAAAAGGAGCGAGGCTGGAAGCGAAGGTTCATGGGCCAAGCTTCTAAATGACGGCTTGAATGTTTCGGCCTTATGGAAAAACACCTGGATTCGTGTTCCTCTTTGTTGAGCATCCGCAGCGCGCTAGATCTTGAGGCTAAAACTTCTGCCACATGCATGAACAAGCGCCCACAGCCAAGAATCCAGCTCAGATCCTGTGGCACATGCTGCTACTTCAGACTGGCACTCGAAAAAGCAATGGTACTCACCTCCTTGGCATGCATGGCATTGGCATGAGGGAAACCAGCCTGCTCCGGAGAAAAACAAAACTGGAACATCCGACAGTCTGCACAAACTGCTAGGAGCTTTTGGCCCAGGCAAAGGCCCAGAGCGTCCCTGGTCAAGGGGGTGTCACAGATTCGCAAAAAGAAAACGTCACAGAGTCGTCCAAGGGTGGGCTCCACCCATTTTCGGGTCGATTCCAACGCAAAGCAGGGGTGCCCTGGACTTCCCCAAAGCAAGAGTTGAGCAAGCTACTGGTGTCCATGGAAGCGCTCGCCACTTGTGGAGGTTCCCTCTAAGGGAAATGGCTCGGAATCCCTGCCATAGTCCGATAGTCCCTTTGGTTTCTTTAAAACAGCCGCAAAAAAAGGGGAACCCTCCAAACAACATAGAAAGATCATCCCCAAGAAAAGCGCCTCAAAACGATCCGATTCCTTCAAACCGAATCCCATGGGGCACGAGATGGGAAAGCACAAGCCGATGCAGAACAAGGCCATGGCGGTGAGTCTCAACGACCTGGTCGGCCAGCGGCCAGCGGATCGGATCAAATGAACGGCTGCCAAACCAAACCAGCACCCAGGGCCCTACAACGGCTTTTGCCCAGGTGGCTGTGGCTCAAAAAACCGGAACCCCAAAATGGGTTGCCCTGGTAAGTGGATTCATGGACCAACACCTGCGGTTTGCCCCTCCTGTTTAATTTTGAGCCACACCCATGTCAGAATCAATAAGCTCAAGTGATATCCCCGACAGCATGCGGTGCTCTCTTTAATGCTCGCACCAGCTCGAATCCCTCGCAGAACCTCGTGGAACCCTCGTAGAGCCCTAGTGGAACTTTGGTGGAACCCTCGTGGAACCTTACCTCAGGGCCACCCCAACCACCCCGGAGCCTATGTGGGCTGAGACCCCAAAGCTTTCAGTTGTTGGGGAAGAAAGCTGTGGTTGAGAAGTGCTGGCAGGGATGCAGTTGGGAAAACCGTTGGCATACACCCTTGCATAAGTGGTTGTGTTTGTCATATCACAGAAAAACATAAACCTTCAGTGTTCTCTTCGTTGTACATGCCATACAAAACCTTTGTGTTTCTGTGATTTACCGAGGACAAAAAACATAACCTGTATCTTCATATTGGTCTTATATATATATATGTATTGTGTTTAACAGAAAAGACATATTATATATATATATGTATTAAAACAAAAAGAAGAAACAAAAAGAAAAAAGCTTAGTCAAAGGCCCAGAGTCAGATTTGGGTGTCAAAAGATCCCTTCCAAGGCCCCTGGCCACTAATGTTTCCGGCTGGTGTCCTCTCATCTGTTCTCATGGAACCTGAGAGTATCTCACAAAAACGCAACCTGATTCCAGGAGTCCACCGTCCTTCTGTACCGTCTGTACCTAACTGCATATGCACGCACGTGCGTGTATATACGTACGTACGCGCTACCTACAAACGTACATATGCGTGTGTGTGTGTGTGAACCTGAATTGCAGGTTTTCCTCAGACAAGAACAACACACATGCACTTTTATGCATCAAAACTGAAGAAACACTGCAAAGCATATGTGCTAAGAAGCAACCCCTCGACATTGGGGGGGTCCTTGCATACATCTGCATGCATATCCGCCGACATTGCTCGGCGTGTCGGATACCAAAGAGAGGACTATTGGATACCTAAGAGAGGATAGAGGATAACCCCCCCCTTAGTCCCCCCCTCCAGGACACGTCAAGTACGCATGGTTTT